CAGCTCTGCAGATGGGAGGACACAACAGCATCACAACAGCATCTTACCCGAGAAATTCAGGGGGACCTGGAGCTTCATCAGAGCAATGTCATAGTCAAGGCTATTGTCATTATAAAGGGGGTGGTAAATTATTTTCTTTACTGATACCCCAGCCTCCCTCTTGATGGAGCGATGGGTGATGACACCTGCGAAAACCAGCCAGGCAGAGGCTTGAAGCCGCCTGTAACTGAGCAAAAACACAGCGTGCCTCTTACTGCCCTGTAACTGAGCAGAAACACAGCGTGCCTCTTACTGCAGGGCAAGAATGCCAAGGCCTGGGGTAAGAGCAGACACAGAACCTCTGGGGCTGGGCAGGGGAGAGCTGGGAGGTACCTGTGCACGCAGTGAGCTGCCGTCACGATCCATTCTCGTGCCAGCACGGATCCCCCGCAGCGATGCTGGGAGCCGTGGTACACACTGACCTGCCAGGGCCAGCGCCCGGGGGGCACGTCCGCTCCCCCGACCACCCGCCCAGAGCCGGGGAGCAGCCCACACTCTGCAAAGCAGCCAGGGAGCACGTGTTGGGTGAAGCTCCAGGTGCCAGACCCTCAAGCTGGAGATGAGGGAAGCAGGTGGAGTGGGAGCAAAGAAAGTGCTAGATCCAGGCAGAGATTGTGGGGACATGAGAGAGGAGAGAGGCACTCACCTGAGCATTTCAGAGCCACAATTCGGCCTGATTCACAGCTGCTCCTGCATGGGAATAAGCCTCTGGTCAGAAATCACACTAACTGAAATCCCTGGGGCACTAGGGAGCTCCAGGGCAGCTGTGGCAGTCCCCAAGGGGCTGCTTCCTGTGCAAAACCAGGACAGTTTTCTATGTTCTTAAGCTCAAAAAAAAAAAAGGTCTCTTTTTTCAGCCCCACCAGCAAACTCAGCTTCCCCCAGACCTGCCCTTACCTGACCTGCCACATGTCTTCCAGGCTGCCTTCCTGGTGAGATCTCACCTGAATGAACTCCTGTGTGTCATGCACCTCGATGTCTGTCAGGTTCACTCCTTTCTGATGGGACATTCTGCAGAAGCAAGATTAAGCATCCTGGGAAGGGCTGGAGACCTGCTGGGGGATCAGGGATGTGACCCTGCCATGGGAACAATGGTCCACAGTGCTGGCTCTCGGGCAGCTGGGAATGAACCTCCTTGGCAGGATGATCTTCTGCAGCTCTTTTCACAGGTCCCCATGCCAGCCCAAGCCCTATTTTCCACCCTGCATTCACCAGGGAGCTGTGAGGTCCAGCACTGCTGCCCCAACAAACCTCCCAGCCTTCAGCATCTGCTTTTGCCAAGGTCATGCCCCTTGAAAAAGAGTGAGTAGGGGTCAAAACAGCTGCCTCTGCCATGCCCACCTGAGATACCCGAGCTGCCGGCAAAGCAGGGTGCCCAGGGAGAAACTCCAGTGCTCATGGCATGCCAGGAGCCAGCCAGGATGGCCTGTCACCTGCGCTTCCAGCAAGGAGTTTACCACGTTTATTCTGAAAGACACTAAAGCCATTCCATTAAACACAAGCTGCAAGTTCCCTTCCTCGCAGTGTTCTGTGCAGGGCCAGCAGAGTGGAGGGTCATGTTCGTGTAAACCAGCAAACAAAACCCCCAACAACCAGCAAACAAAACCCCCAACAACCAGCAAACAAAACCCCAGACCCCAGAAAAAGCCATTTGAAGCAGCAGAAACTATACATGAACCTATTTGCACATTCCCAATGCCTGTGTGGCAGCTCTGCTGAGCTATTACATCCAAAGGAGTCCTGCAAGAGTTGCTGGTGCTGTAGGATCACTCTGTACATTGAAGTTGTAATGCTGGGGAATACAGCAGGACTTTAAAGCAAAGCAAAACAACTGCAAAATGCAGCTGGATCAGCAATAGATATTACTACTAAAGAGCACCTTTTGTCTTCTTGCTGGGCTTGGCAGGCACTGTCCTACACACTGTTCCCCTCTCCCCACCCCCTGTAGCAGCAAGCAGAGATGTAAACCTCTACTGGGGGCCCCACGGACCACGGGCTCATCCTCTTCACCATCACTGCACGCTGGGATTGCTTCTGGCTCCTGCAGTGGGGTGAAGTCCTGGTCTGGCTGAGGCTTCTTCAGGTGTTTCACTTCAGGAAACAGAGAAGGGGATAGGGGTGGACTCACACAACCTGAGCAGCATCCGAGGATGCACTGCCCACTGGAAGAGGTGATGAGCCTCTCAATGGGCTCAGCTGTAGCTTGTTGCTAGGATCACAGTGACCAGCAGCAAAGCCCACACCAGCGACATCCCCCTGTCCCATGCTGCAGCTCACTGACCAAGGAGCTCCCATCACCACCACCTCTGCTGCTGGTGGCCCAAACTGACTCACCAGTTTGGCAGGCACTGACCTAGAAGCCATGCCCCAGATGCCGTCCCTGCCAGCAGCCCAGTGACCCCGAGCAGCAGGAACAGCCTCCTGATGTTGAGGAGAGCTTTGAGAGATGTATTAGCAGAATCTTTAAGAAACAGAGAAGGAAAGAGGATTAACGTGGTCTTGTCCATCTCTCACAGCACTATCACCCCCCTAGTGAAGCCCCTGGGTCCTTATACATCTGGTTTTAGGATGTATAACCTAGAATATCACCCAATCCTTTCCCCACAGTGCCAGGAGGAGGTGAGCTAAGGCCATGGATTCTGTGGGAAGTCAAGACTCAGAGGGCCCCCCTGTTCCCAAAGCCCAGAAATAGCTCACCCACCGTGTCCCAGGGAGGCCCGTGTCCTCTGTGCTTCCCTCCTCAGCTCTGCTGTCGGGCTCTCGCAGCTTTGCACGGTGTCCTCAACACGAGGTGGGTCATCAGGAGACTGCTCAGCTGAGGCTGGGCTCTAGGGAAAGGAGCGGAGTCCCCGGAGCAGGTCAGCAACAAAGGGCAGGTGTCAGGGAAGGGGACAAGGCTGAAGTGATGACAGCTCACCATGACAGCAAGGAGTGGGGCAGCTGCTTGTTTGGGCTGCTGCTGAGCCACGGGAGCAGAGCACACGGGTGTCCCGTGAACCAGCTCAGGTTTCCCTCTGCACGCTCCCGGCACGATGCCGTGCACTCGCACCGCACAGCGGCCACGCTGAAGGGACTCCTTGTTTCAGGATCCCCCTCTCCCTCTGACAGAGCCCTTGCAGCAGGTGGGGGGGATTGCTCAGCAGAGCCCCCATCCCACTGCCCCCAGAGGCTGCTCAGGCTGGGGAGCCCCAGGGGAAAGGCTCCCAGCCCTCCCTGAGCAAGCTCAGCAGCTGTTGAGTTCTCAGCTCTCGAACCCATCTTCCACCTGCTGCCCCCCTTCCCCCTCCCATTATTGTGCTCAGCTGGCATATGAGAAATGCCAAGTGCTGCTGGGGAGCAGCCACAGTCCCCAGGTCACCAGTGTGAGTGGGGGACTGCAGGCTGGCTGCCAGCCCTGCCCCGGGGGGCTCCGAGGGCACGGGGCTCCGAGGCACCAACAGACCTTGGCGCAGGCGGCGGGAAGGCTGCCGACCAACTGCTCCTTGTTAGTGGTTACGGTCAAGGAGACAAGACCTTGGGGAACAAGGTGTCCTAAGCTGGGAAGAGATCAGAAAAGAGCCCACAGCTGCTCTTTGTCACCCTCACATCTCAAGCCAAGTGCTTGCCAGCTATGACATGTAAAGGACAACTTCCCCGTGTTAGGGATGTGCTGGCGAGGGGAGGTGAGTCCCTGTCACTTCCCACCCCACATGCACAGAGACCTGCAGGGAAACTGCCCAGCCTCCCTGGGTGCTGGATTTTCCCTGTGGTCTTCTGGTTGTAGCACACAAAGAGCAATAAAGGTCAAACAGCACCTCTCAGTTCAGCTTCTGATTTTCCATGTAATTTCTTGTTGCTGAAAGATGCGGGGCTGGCGCCCTGCAGGAAGGGAAGACTTTCCGACCCGTGGTTTGGATGCTGGCTGTCCCACATTGGGGCATGAGACACTTTTCTCACCAATGCAGAGCTCTTGATGCAGCAGTGGAACAGAAATGGCTTGTGCTGCTGCATTCCTCTGACCCAGGGGATGCTCCACTGCAGTCGTTTGCCTGGCACTAGAGACCATCCTGGCCGTAGCCTCCTCACAGCCCCTGCTGCTCACTGCTGAACAGAAGCACTCCAGAATCATGGCTGAGTTTGGAAAAGTTGTCCAATTCCCAACAGCCAAATACAAATTCAAAAGCCATTATGTAAGTTAGAGCCACAATCAGAGATCACCCCCCATGGTCAGAGATTGCTGGTATGGCAGCAGCACCCAGAGTGCCTGTGGAGAGCCCCTGGTTACCAGTACACCACACTGCCTTCCCTGCACAGGCAGTTCACTGGCTGTGCCAACTGTTTCTCTGGCTGACTGTACCCCACCCAGAAATACTAAGATGGCCTTCTCCAATTAATGAATTCAAAGCCCAGGAGAGATGGGACTGAGTACTGACCTCAGTGTGTCTCAAAAACAAATGGCAGCTGAAGCACATTTAAATAGCTGTCTCATGAAAGGAAGTTTTCTTATTTACATACTTTTCCATCCCCAAAAGATAGAGCTGATGGCTTGTTGTTCAAAATATCAATGAATTTTTAATGCTGTTTGCTCAAGGAAACTCCTATGAATATTTCATGACAGCCCGGTGTTGCAGGCTCAGGCTGAGGTTCCGTGCTGTCGGTGAAGAGCACCGTACGTGTTGTGCCACAAATCCCAGCTGTGCTGAGCAGCAGGGGTGGCCATCAGCTCCTGGGGAGCAGACAGACACACAGCACCCTGCTCCATTGCTGCCGAAGCCCCGTGCTGAGATACCAGGTACAATTTGCTGGGGTCGGGCTCCTTTTGCAGCCTGGCACCTTGCAAGCACTCAGCTGCTGTGAAAACTGGGGACAGGGATTTGTTTTGATTTTTTTCTCCCCTCCAAGCCCTTTATCTCATTTACTAGTTAGGCCAGAAAGCTGAGAGGCAATGGACAAGGCTGCAAATACCCTCGGCTATACTTGGTGGCACTCGAGCACCTCCTCAGTCTACAGAGGACTGTAGATGGTGCTGGAGGACCAGGCAGCACCAGTGGGAAACGTGAGGCAACAGCCCGGGCTGCAGAAACCAGCCTGAGAATCCCTTGCTGAGAGCTGCCCTGTGTTTTGGCTCAGAGGAAGGGAAGGACTCACCCAGACTTCTCCTCCCAGCTGCCAAGCACCAGCCCAAGGTCACTGCACGACCAGTTCAAGTCATCTCCCCTCTGAGCATCCCATGCCCAGGGGTTGTTGGAAAGCCGACCTTCTTCCCAAAAGGTAAATGAAGAGGCAGGCTGTGACCACAGCCAGCAAAACACAAACACCTTCCCCCTGCAAGCAACAAACCACAATGAGCAATTATCAATCTATGCAGGGAAAAAGGATAAGCGAGAGAAAATTCCAAAAAGACGCATCAGGAGAGTTAAAAAATAAGACACATCAGTCTATACTAGCTCACTATGCTGAGTCACAATCTTTTTTCTTTTAAAACTCATTAAAAGAAAATCAATATTTCTACCAATTCTGCTTGCCTGCAATAAGAAAATAGTGACTAAAATGAGAGAGCTTTCAAGATTAAACATTGACACATAGATCTAAGAGGTAGGAAAGAAAACAGCATTGTGGCTTTTACCTCCTGGTTTTCATCGTTTTCCTGTGGTTCTTTAGAAATAAAACAGTATCAGTAGTGATTACAGACACTGACAACTGATGAAATGCCCATGCGTTACATGAATACTTGACAGGTGGCGGAGATGCTATGAGGCATAAGACATTTCCTTTGCTGTTTTCCCAACTTATTCCCATTGAAACAGACTTTTCTTCCCCACCTGGGAGTAGTAAGGAGAGCACAGCTGCCAGATGTTAGCTCATGTTGCTGTAACACCAAAGCTGATAAAGTCATGGCTGTGCACAGCAGCGTGAAAATCTGGCCTACAGGTTGTCAAAGCACATATTTTGAACTTGTACAATAACAATAACAAGTTGTCTCCAGTTATTCCGTTGGTTCTGATGAGATCAGCGAGGAAGGGTCACTTATTGGCACACAAAATTGCATATTGAACACATGACCCTGATGCATTCTTCCCCAGACTCAACTCGGAGGGTGCTGGGCATTTCCAAGCTGGGATATGAACCCATGACAAGCCTAGAGCTTGGCTCTTCTCAAGTCAGGAACTTCTCACCATGCATCCTGCTCCACAGATCTGGCAGAGAGGCCTAGGAAAGGGGGCTGCTGGGATGCTGCAGCTCTTGGGCGCTGCATTGACAGGGAATGCGTGGATAAGGATTGCAGCTGCTGCCTGGGGATTTGTGGTGCCATCACAAACTGCCCTTTTGTGCTGGATGCAGGACAAATGAACCCAGAACTAGTCTCCTCTCAACAGACTTTCAACCTGGGGTGAATTTTAGCCCATATGCCCAATACATGAAGTTTTCAAAGCAGCTTTAACAGCCAGTTGCTGAATATCACTGTAATTGTTTGGTTTAGCTTCTGCTTAGATTGCTCCATCCTTTACCAGACAAAAGCTGAGTTCTGCCTTAGGGATTTAACCAGAGGGACCCTAAGCCTCTCAAACAGTGCTAGGGGAAAAAAACAAACAAACAAAAAACAAAACAGTTTCACTCATCAGGATTTAAAGCATCTCTTGTTGATACAGGTTCTGCCTCTTGTCTCAGGGAGACATTTTAAAATCCATCCTGTGGTCTCAGAGCTCTCCCATTCAGACTGTCACAGCTGGACAGCCCTGGTAGGAACAAAACACCATTTCAGTTTTAATTAGGGCTGGGAGCTCCCAGCAATATTTGCTGGATTCAAAGCCTCAGACTGTGATCCAGCTGAGGTGTCTGGAGCTTATGAGGTGCCAAGTGAGCTTGCCTTTTGAAAAACAATACATGAGCTCCTGTTCTGTGCTCTGAGGGAGATCCAGTGTTTAAGTTCCTACACATGGAGCACTGAAGTGTGAAGTTGCAGACTACCAATGCAAAGCCCTGAAAATATGAAAAATCTCTGTACTTACCCCAGAGGAACTCAGTAAGAGAAAACCCAACAAAAAGCAGCCAAGTAAACATCAAGCAAGGCAGGATTCATTTGATCTAGGCCTAAAGCACATTTAATACCTTACGCCTAGACTCCTAAAGCAAAAAGCTCTGCAATAGCTGGGGTAGGGGTGGAACGGGGCAGTAAATGAGAAACAATCATTGATTTAATCCAGTAGCTGGAGTTCACAGGGTTTCCTGCCTGTTCCATCTGCTTGGCACAAAGCTGAGTGCAAAGGGGAACTGGTGTGGTGACAGACAGGGCGAGGGGAGCCCAGTGCTGGGCAGAGGCAGCTCATTGCTTTCTGGACAAGTACCATGTTTGAGGGCCTTCTCCAGGGCTCAATGGTGAGACGGAACGAGGCAACATGGCCATCACCTCAGGACCTCACTTTGTCCAGGCCTCTTGCCCTCTTTGTTGGATGATTTCCTTCTTTACCTCATTTCTTCTCT